CAGGCACCGTCTGGGGCGAATGGTAACCAAAACTCCTGAACTCGAGTGACGTCTTTTCTGGACCTTCGGAGAGAATGTCTGCCACCCCTTCCCTATTACCCGAAGACTCTTTGAATTCCTGACCCTTCTTTGTGGTTGTATCCCGAGAGTCTGGCTTGGGAGAGCTGGTGGAGAGTAGCAGTGACCGCGCCGTAATCTACAGTTATGCATAACGGTAGAGATTTTCGTACATCTGAAGGAAGGGAATAGACATTTTTTCTCTAGCCTTCTTTCCTTCTTTCCTTCACTTTTCTCCCCCTCCCTCTCTCATTATCTCTAGCTATCTCTCGTTCTCTCTGGTTTTTTACTATGTAATTTGTTTTCCACCACACCTTGTGTTCTTTCCGCTCTCGGAAGGTGGCTTTCCCAACTTTAGTTCTTTCGAGGATGGCAGTGCTCTCCTCACCCTGTCCCCCCCCCCCCCACTTGCCCGAGCCCATTCCTGCCATATACCATTGTACAGCATGCATGGGCTGGGATTTTGGACTGAAAATCAGACTTGACCAAACCTACCCTTCTCTATAATACCCATATGCGTGATTGCCACATCCGTTCAAAAACTGGCCGTGAAGTCGACTTTCCTACGATGACCACTGGACCCTAACCCTGCACGGGGATAACTCCTCCCGTGATGTTTTACCGTACACAATTTACCATATCCAGTTCATCACAAGCAGCTTATGGCGTCCTATCGGGTCGCACCCTTGGATTGTGGAAGTATTACAGAACAAAACATTTGTTTATAGTCCCATGATGCACTTATTGAGCTGGAGGGGAGCCCCCCGGTTCATGTCATTCTGCGGGATACTCCCCACTATCTTTGCAGAATATTGGCTTGACGAAGCGGACGTGGTGGTAACGGTTAGAAAACAATACCAAGATTAACGAGGGAAGGGGATATATGGTAGAGCCGGAGGTGAAGAGTGGAAATGGGGCGAAGTGAGCAGACGCTGAAGGGTTGGGAAGAGTGATGGACGGAATGGTGAGTAACGTTTATATCCTGCAGAATGCTATTTATGAGTCCAATTGTTAGAAAGAAAGCCACTGCTCATCCGGTCCATACTGCGCGCCGTGAAACCGACAAAATGGGCTGTATTAGCGGACTTTGCGGCCGAGTGGCTTCGTATGAAGTTGGTAACAGTTCATCACGGCTTCAAGCCTTCCTCATTTATGCGATCCCCACGATCCCTTGTTTTATCCCTGCCATCCCAGGTTTTTCCTTCTTCCATATCCGAGTATCGTAGGCGGCGTAGATCTTGGTCAACGTTTGTACGGAAAACAGGAATTTTGGCCTATTCATTTCTCGGCAACCGGGTAACTTATCTAGGAAGTAGGATTGAAAATTCGATAATGAACATGATATCGGGTGATAAATCCCCTTACATAATAACCCCACAACTAAATAATGTAGCCTGTCCAGAGAATGTTGTCATTCCGCTTGATTGTTATATACAAATCTTGCTCAAAGACTTGGTAAATTTGGCGGTATTTACAGTCTATTCTCTTGAGGCCCTGAAGTTTTTTCTAGTGGGAGAGTAGTGCTCCGTATTCTGCCTTTTCAGATATAGTAGGAGTGAAATGGCCCGTGATGTAAAAATGCACACTCAAATATGAAAGGAACAGATAGAGGAAAGTCAATTCCTAGGGCTAATATGCTAGACCGGCGGCTTTACTGATTGAGATATGGGTTCCCGGGGTATATGAGGGCGGCCTGCTGTATTTTCAGCTTCTAGGATACAGAGGTTTTTGGAGGAGAGTAATCCTTGTAGTGCCTTCAGGCGTGGCACCTAAGCACTATTTGGCAAATTTAGCGACAACTGTTTCAGGGGTTTCATCGGTGGGTTTTTTAGGTCTCAGGAGAGCTTCAAACATTTTATTGCTTCTTCCCATTGAGGTTGTAGAGTAGTTGAGAAAATAGAGTTTGATGTAGGCCGGAATTTTCGTGGTTGGTACACATCTATTCTGCCCTAGTAGATTTATTTCTGGGTTAGCTACTTTACTGTTTTTATACCCGCGCCCAAATTGAAGCTGCCCATGCTCATGTATTTGTAACCGCTAAACTAATAAATCTGTTTCTCTAAGATGACAAGCCAGGTGATGCAATTCTATATACTTTACAAAGTAACTTATATTATGTTTGGCCAAAAAAGCACCGAGGCGGTTCATCCTCACTATACGATCCATCAAAAGTGCAAAATATCTCGTGGAAAGCTCTACAAGCTAATATCTCCAAACGGAGTCAGTAATTTCAACGGCCCCAATCCAGATCATACGTGTAATTGACAATTTGCAGGGCCTATACAGAAACAATAGCTTCAGAGCTATCAATGTTTGTGTTCTCATATCATATAAAATGAGTAATGTTCTTGCCCTGCACAAGAATTCTACCGGTCTAGCATCCAACCCGATCCGAGAGCGTCCAGCTTCGGTAAGGCCACCGGAGAATTTTAAATTGCTTTCTCGCAGATGTTCGTCGATCGTACAGGGGTACCGTAAAAACCAGAATAATCGAGTCGAGTGCTATGTAGTCGAGAATTCCCTCCTTCGGAAAAGCGGCGGGGGGCGCCTCGAAAAATAACCTGCTCAGCCGCACCGGGACGGGAAAGCGGGGGAGACGGTACGCCTTACCGAAGGGGGCAACTCCAACAACACAGCACACGAGCCTTATTCCAGTTTTTACGGTACAAGTAGAGCCCATTAGCATGAACAAACGGGGATCCGTTTGGCTGGTTAACCTCCGGTAACAGTTGCATAATTTCTTGCCGTACCACGGTACTGGTACTGTGTGGGTGATAGGGTACGCAATGCCGGTACAGTATTAATTTACCTTGGTACAAGTATTGCGTCACCCATCAAATTAGTTCCATTACAAAACGGGTATGTCACGTGCTAGATCTCCGCTCGCATACCGCTAAGCAAGTCCTTGCTTTTCTCCTAACTACTTGGGTGTTGCAACCTCAAGAGATCCTTAGATCATCGGCCATCACCGTTATACTATAACAGAATGTCTCATCTACAACAAATTTCGGAGCAACTCCACCAGGACTTATGGGAAAATGCCGGAAACATGGAACCCATTACGGACTTCACCTTACCGGTTCCACAGCCTACCAGTTTTCTCCCAGCTTATGGGATGAACCCATTTGGTGCGTCAGGTAATAGTGCTAATCTGATCAACTTCACTTTGCTTGCAGTGGAGATAACCTTCAAACGACCTGAAACCAGAAACATCCTTGTGGTGAGTCGGTTTTACTTGTGCGGTATTAGTATTTTGATGCCGATAGAACAAGTTCTTCTCCGAACCGAGTCTGCTAGATGGGAGGGGATGCTACAAAACTGTAGGTCAATGATGGGATCTTTGCGAGACTATATGATCCCGGGTCAGCCTGGATCAGGTGTGTATTATTTAAATCAATCACCCTAGATCTCCTGATAACCTGCGGGCAGGAAAATCCTTCATCCCCCCCTACCTCTTAGCTCGCCAGCTACTCAATGGCCAGCCTACAGTTTATCGCGAGAGCGATACCCGCTGCTTTCTATTCGATGAAGATTCGATGGGGGTTCTAATCAAGGTGGATGATCTGCTTGGTCTCAGTCCGGAGAAAAAGCGAAATCTGTGGATTCTGACGGATGAATCACTTGAAGATCCATTATGGAATTGGCGGGGGGTAGGATGGTTCGTTGTACTTTCAGCCTCACCAAAGCTGATTGCAGCATCCAATAAGTGGAAAATAATAATAGAAATGTTGGGATAAGCTACATGGGGAACTGGACTTGGGAAGAGGTCTTTGCTGCATATAGGTAACTTTTCATTGGTCACCATTGAAATATTCTCCACAACTAAACTCACTTTTGTTAGTTTACATGAGGCGCATGCTACACGAGACCAAATTCACCGTCTCTATACTACCTTTACCCAGTGTTCGCAACGGGGCCGTCCCGTCAGGTTATTTTCTCAACATGCCCGAGAGGTACTCATGAAGGACCAGGACTGACTGCATTGTGTCGTCCCGTCTGGTCTTTTCCTGAACTTGCCCGACACATAAGGGCCTGTTCGGCAACGACAGGTCCGTTCCGTTCGTACATACAAAATGGCCGTTCGCGAACGGAACCATAAGGCAATTTGTACGGGCGAACGGAACGGAATGGTCGTTGCCGAACAGGCCCTAAGAGTAAAGGACCATCCACCGACAGTTCCCTGCCGTCACCCACAGTCACCCACCATCCCCTGCCGTTCCTTAAACCCCTAGCCCTTCCCCACCGTCCCCCACCGTCCCCCACCGTCCCCTACGATCCCCGGTGGTCCTATGTAGTCACCTGCTGTCCCCTACTAGAGGTTGCCTCAGATTGTGGGGCTCATCGTCCTTCCTCATGACGGCCGTCCCGTCCCGTCCCGTCCCGTCCCGTCCCGTCCCGTCCCGGGTTCTTGGCAGTCCCTCCTTCGGGCCCTACGGGGGCCCCGGACGGTTGAGAACACTGCCTTTACCTGCCTCGGTCTAATTGCACGGACCTGTTTGGAGTCAATTCCCCCACACGATAGTAGATACTATAAGAAAGGCCTGCATATGTACCTTAGTGAGGTAGATCAAGCATGCCGCATATTTATCAAATCGCCTGGTTCTCCCGGGACCGAAGAATTGGTAGATGCATTATCCTCACACAAGCTGGCAATCATGGAACCAGCTAGAAATGGCTCGGCATATACTTCACAGATTGCGACAAGGTGGATAGCCCACGAGATTGCTGAGATGGGGGAGAGATTGTAACAGTTGAATGCCTACTCACTCTATCAATCTCTCTATGTTCAGCCATAGCTCAGAACATCTGCAGGATGGTTCTTTGAGCGATATGTACATGACTGGTTTAGAGCAAGGGGTCAATTCCATGCATTGGAATTGAAGGCACTAGGTCGCACACTATCACATTTGGATTTCAAAACAAAAGGTTCCCGTTCGAAAGCAATGAACTACATTACAGCAATGGATAACTTGTCCAATCAGGTTACAGTTGAGCGCGGTGGGAAGATTGGGTCACATACATTCTCGAAATATTTCCTTCCCTACAGCAGAACTCAAGAGTCATTTCATGGCCTCACGCTTAGTGATGTCAACACCCTAATTGTTTTTCAAATCACAATTGCTAGCCGGCATAGTGTCATACCACTTGGGATTTAGAGACTTGCTAAGATCCCTACCACGCACCATCACACATCTAAATATTGTTTTTGTTGTCCCATCCCACAGGCAGCGAGACTTCCAACGACCGCAGAATATCCCCAATGCTGCCGACCTGGAGTACCCACCGACAGCGCTCTCGATACCGCAGTTCTACTTAGTATTCCCGGACGAAAAAGTCAAGTTTGTTGCATCCAATCACTTAGTTTCCAGTCACGATGAGGATGAGGATGAAGACGGCGACGGCGACGACGGCGATGAAATGACCATGATGGAGGGGCAGGCTGAGGGACCTATTGAACAGGTGCTGGAGGCGGAGGTGGCATGCCATGTCCTGATGATGCAGGAGGCCCAGTAGGCCCAGATGCCGAAATGATTGACTAAGCCTCAATTGAGATTGGGACAGGCGGGCTGTAAGGCAAGAAACCTAGATTGGGCCAAGGATGCTTGGCTAACATTGTACAAGAGCAGGGAACCTACAGCACGTTCTATAGTGTGAGCAGAGCTCTTGGGCGTTGACTTGACCGGGAGAGGTTGGGATATGTTCTGATCAGATTGGTATTACTTTATTGCTTTTCTTGTGTCATTTTTTTCCTTTACGCCACAACCGCAACCTTTATTGCATGAATGGTGGTGCGGTTGCTTAGATTGCAGAGATATCTGTTTCCAATACATTAATCGATAGGGCGGTGTTACATCCTTACCAGATTTTATCTTTGTTGGATACAGGCCAAGGGAACCACTTTGGCATTCATGCCTGAATAAGCTTGTTTCTCCGAGTACAGGATAGGGCACCCGACAGTATAGCAGAAGAATACAATCCCCCTCTTTTGCTGACCTTGGTTCGGGGTTCGGGGGCTCTATCCGGGGAAATAGTTGGCCCGGTAAATGGTCATACTGCCCAATATCCGGGCCCTGTAGGCCCCCCCACGAGTTGACACATAGACTTGTGGGACCTGGGAGAGGGTCAGATGCAGAACTGAATCACGTTATGAGCAAATTGTAGAATATATACCGGAGAAATTCCACCATAGTCAGGACTCCGTGCCTGACCCAGTGTTCCCAACGGGCTAGGCCACGGATAAGCTGGCCTATAGGTTGAAGGCATGGCCAAGGCAGGCCGCTGAGGGCCATTAGTCTAGGCGGATATACTCTGAACCCAACCAGCTTGCGGAGACCTATCAAGCCAGGTAGGAGCCTATAGACCTTTAAGTAGGATTTAGGACTAGATTTTTTAAGGGTTAGCTCAATCCCTTACAACTTTCATTGCGACTTATCATTAAATTTCCATCTATACCCTCAGGTCAAGTCTCGCAATGGGCCGGCCCGGGCCGTAAATCCCCGAGCCCAGCCGAAACCCGGCCCAAATTATGGCTGGCCCGACCCGAACCCAACCACGTCCAAACAAAGCCCGGGCCCCGGGCCACCCGGAAAGCCCAAACTATTGGATTGATCCAATTGTATTTAAAGAAGTCAATTATTTTAATGTTACTACTTGAGAGACCTTCAAGCTGTACTGGTTCTAGGGAAAGCAGATGGTGAGAGTGGCACGACAGTTAGTGAACCGGATGAAGGAAAGCAGTAAATATCTAGAAAGCAGCTTAAAATGGAACAATTATTCTCGGAAATGAGTTTCCCGGACACTTTCAGAGATTCCCCCCACTCTGGCCGTTGATTGCCAACTTCGAAGACATTGAAGTGCTTGAGTAGTATCCGAACTAAGGGAATATCGCAAATCACTAATCGTTCGTTTGTTGCCTGGGAAATACTCTTTCCGGTTCAGCTGGCATTTCCGGTATGCTATGCATATTTATTTCTCACATCGACCGAGGATACTCCCTTTGCCGTACTCCATCATACCACCATCTGGGATAATAGCGTGTTAGTGAGCCTTGGCGGAAGAATGGATCCGGTGAACCCTACTCCAGTGGATTTTGAACAGAGACCTCCGGTTCCGCAAGTCCTGGGGTTCACTGCACTTTTGTCCAAAACCAGAAGATATGAGTGATATCATGTGACTTGATAAACATAAGTGACAATTCTTTTGGGTTTTCTTCCGGGCTTTTTTGAGCTCTCTGGGCTGCCACATGGACGACCCAACCCAGACCAACCCGACCCGATCTCAGCCCGGGCCCAATTGCGATGTTTGCCTCAGGTGTTGGTCGAAGTAACTCCGCAATGAGGGATTCACAACTAGCTCAACAAAGTCTAGGCAATTCACCTCCAGGTTCTCCAACACATCTCTATCGCGTGGTTCCTCCTTCTGATTCAGTTTCTTCCGCGGGAAAGCGAGTGAATTCGCCAGTGAATGTGTCCGCTACGGCTGACTTAGTCGTGTTACACCCCGGGGATGTTCATGAACAGCGAGAAAATCCATATCACTACCCACACTTAGGTTCAGCACCTAGGGCCATTAATGATTTTGCCGATACTCCTTCTAGTCTGTTAACACCAATGCGTGGAATTTGTGTAAGCACTATACAATTTACTATTCTCGTGGAAGTAACCTGAAACAGTTTAGTAGAATGAAATATGAGCCGAACGGAAGCCAAAGAACTGAAGAGATTATAGGCCCGGCTTGGCTCAGGGTTTTCAAAGCCTACTGGCTCCAGTCAGGCAGATCCCCGATGGTCGTGGCAGGCTGACCCGCCTTTGGTTCGGCCTGGCATAACTGGCCCACCGGGAACACTGGTCGTAGGGATATTAATGCCATAAAGGGGCGTCAACCCGGAACCCGCAGCCCACGACAGCACAACACCACTCTCACGGGCCGCCAGAGGTGGGATCGCAGGAGGAGTGGCATTGCCACCCCAGAAGAAGGGGGTCAACCCCAATTCAACAAACACCCGACACGGCGGAACACCACTATCCTGGGCAGCCGGAAATAGGTATGGAGTATCCAAACTACTATTAGCGCATAGTGAGGTTGATCGGGAAGGGTCTGACAACGGAGGCCCAACAGTATGCTCGTGGGCGGCCCAGTATGGGCATGCGGGTAATGAAGGTTGTACTAGAACAGAGGAAGGCCAACCCGATGACAAGTAACCTCAATTCCCGGACGCTAATTTTGTGGACTACCGAGTGCTGGCATGGGGAATCTTGAATATTTCACTTAGTGAACGCCGGTGTCGGTCCCGATTTACCCGATCGCAGCGGCCGAACACTCCTCTCTTGGGCTGCTAGTGGTGGGAATATCGGCTTTGTAGAATATCTGCTACAGCGCAAACATGTCAACACAGATTTCAGTGACAATAGGGGACGAACACCGATTTTGTTGGTGGGGAACAGCGATGACCCAGCGGGGGTCCCCTGTTATGGATTTATCTCTAGTATCATGGAGGGTTCCATATTTCTAAAGTACACAGGCAGGCCTCTGCCCTCTTGTCCCTTTCCCTTCTTTCCCTTGTCCCACGGCTCCCTCCAGCCCTTATTTCATCTGTATTCTCAATGTTTCACCTGACATGTTTGCAACTTTCTTTTTTTTTTACCCCCTGGCGATGGTTTCCACACTCCTAATCACCGGCAAGATGTACAGTATCATACTCTCCTTACACTTCCCCCCCCCCCACCCCCTTTTCACAAACCTGTTCTTATTATTGTGTGTCTTGTATAATATGCATTGTACCGGATTTTGGACTACAGAAGCTAAAATTGAGCAAACCTACACCGCTCTAAATGCTTGTATCTGCTACCTATACATTGGTTTGAAAATAGGCCGTGAACCGGACTCTCCTGTGAGAACTACCAAATCTTTACTCTTCAAGACGATATCCCCTCACATAATATTCTCGTGACTTCCCCGCAAGCAGTTTACGGTATCCCACCGGATCATGCCACGGATGGGGGGGGTACCGGCTTACCGTAAGTCTCCAGCCCCTCCGAGTTCTCAAGGAACTACATCCGGTAAACCGTAAAAGCGAGGTTTTTATTGGTATGATGTTGCAAGAAATCCTCCCCCCAGTCTCTGCAGCACGCCAGCTCGCTGAATAGGGTCCTGGGGCAGTAGGTAACCCGTGTACGAAAAAAGGTGAAGATACAGGGCCACAAAAAAAATCTTTTATTTTTTCCCAATTAGGGAACACTCCGTCTCTCCGTTGTTCCTGATACTGGGCTGTCGCTTGTGAATTCCGCGATTTTTTTCCTCCCGGGATTGCGGTGTGCGATTGTGCTCGTTTTTACGATTACCAGTACAGGTGCTCCCGGTTTCTGGCCTGAGTTTGCATCGCTGGGATGCGGAACCTGATTTCTGGACTACAATCTGTCACTCGCTGTGGTCAGTCCATCACGCCTAATGGGATATGAGGCACCGCGCCGGTGCGCAAGTTTCGGTGCACCCATATGGGCCCTAAAGTAAGGGAGAGCTCTTATAAATTCGCGAAAAATTAGACCCGAGTTGTTACCGGAGTACTACCCATGCCCAAACTCATGTCCTACCTGTAGTATTCCAGACTATTCAAGGGCTGGCTATGCTGCCAACTCGCAATGGATGGATAATGCTTTTGATAGAGCTAAAAGAAATACTTCCTAAGATATAACTCACTCTCAGAGCATCCATTTCATTCTCACTACAATGTTTACTTCCCGCGACTATATACTTCTAGCATACATACTAGTAAAGGGTAATCGGCAAGAGAACGGGAAAAAGGTCCCATTGAACCTAACGATATACGGAGGTACAGCCCATAAGTTTTGTATGTTCAACTGGGGCTAAGGGCAGTGAGCCTCGCTTGTGGAACCTACAAAACTTATGGGCTGTACCTCCGTAGCAGTTAACGGAGAACAATTTAGTGTTAGCAGCGCGTGGCAGGGAGTGGCGGTTTTCCCATTATGATAGAAAGTCAGCAAGGCTCGGTATCATCACAATCGCAGTCTGCTTCTCCGGGGGTCCTTGATGGAATTGAATTCCTTGGAACTACGAAAAGTGGTACTTTCCGCCATGCAACGAAATTCCGCTGGTTGTCACCAATCCCCCAGCCACTCATGGGGCTGGCTGTGTTGCTCCAGTCACCGTGCCAAGAGTTCATTCGCACTCTTTTTCCTCGCCAAAAATTGGTTACACCGGTAATTCCGACCAACCGGGAGTGAGCTCGATACCCCTGACTTTTCAATTATTTCCATCCCGCGCTTTCGAGGCTACCGAAGGTCATCCACGCTATCCTCCACACATCAGCGGGGCAATCCTTTGCGCACACCCTGGGCGCTCCCTAGCCCCCCAAGCGAGGCCAACGCTCCGCCACATCTCCACTAACACTACAAGTAAGTGTCAGCTCGGGCCAGGAGTCCTATCGCGCTACGGCTTTCATTGGTTAGGTCGCCCAAACAACTACCATCTCAGTGCCCGGCAAAGGAGGGGCTTTA